AAATAGTTGTTTAAGGAATTCCACAGTGAACAGCTATGGTAGACAAAGTCTGAGAAGGATGGGTACTATAATAGAAATTTCCAAATGAAACTCTCCCAAGAGCTTCCTATGAATAGCATTACTGCTGCCTTCTTCCTGGGCGCTTCTGCACATGGAAATATACAACTCTTGTTGTATATGACAAATGCAGGGTGAAATAGGTTTCTTCTAGAAAGGAAATGGAATCTTGTTTTGTGCATGTCAACACTGGAAGAATCAACTAGATTTAAAGGCAATTCCCAACCAATTGAGAGGCATTCCTTTTATAGGAATGCCAACTATGGGAATACTGTTGCCCAGACATGGCGATTTCCTTGAATTTCTAGAAAAAGCAGAGACAGACAGGAAATTAGTTTAAATTCTTGTATGAAGAAGTCTTTTATAGCTGCAGAGGAACTAAGGATGTATGGAACAGATGGAAAAGAATGAATGTCATACTCAAGCTAAGCTATAAAACCAAACCCTTCTTATGGCCCTACTCTCTCTTAAACTTGCACAGGGGGCTGAGGAATTTTTCATTTACACTGAAAGACTTCATATTGCCAAAAGACACAGGGTTCACTTTGGGGGCAATTCTGGTCACTGTATATAAATTAATGTTGGCCACCTGAGGACTTTAATTGGCCACCTGAGGACTTTAATTGACATCTAAGAGAGTACTTAAATCTCTTTTTCCTCTGACAGCTTTATTATTTTTAAACATGTAGATTGATCCTTCAATCTAATCTTAGTTGATCTACATAGGCATACAAGAAAGTGTTACTGGAATACACTTCTAAATTCTATCTATTTCTATTCTATTAAATGAAAAATAGATGATGTCATGGAACTGAGAGAAGTGTATCTCCAAAGAGTCAACTTGAGAAAGAACTTCTACCAGGTTCTAATGGACCTCATAATTCCATCCCAACTCTGCCTCCAAAGAGCTTATAAAGTAACTTCATAATTATATGACAAAGTGGTGCTTAATGAATATTTGTGGAAAGAAAATGTGGGGGTGGGATTGCAGAATATACAGTCTACTTGATTTATCTAGCAGATTGTATTTAAAGTAGCAGAGAAGCCAGGGAGCAAGGAGAAGCTGGACCAAGAAAAAACTTGTATTAACATTGAGGTGGGGCTGGAGAAAGGCATTTAAATCTTTCTGTTGCCTGTCATTTATAGCATTATGCTCTTCAGCTATTTTATTTTCTTTGGAAGAAATGGTCTGACCAGAGATACGCTCTAGTACTGATAACGTATCTTCTACCATGAAGGAAAAAAGGCAATAGCATTAATAAAATAATGCAATTTTCTGACTTTCCTTGTAGCAGAAATGTCAGACCAAGAGAAATTTTTGCAATGTATGATGGTATAAATACACAGCTGGCATACATGCTTATCTGGAGCTGAAACACTGTGGAGTTAAGAACTTGGTGAAATATGGTCAAGTAAAATTGGGCATAGAGTAATTTACTCTGAAATGTATCAGTAGTTTCTGCAAATAAAGAAGAAGGGGGCAGATATTTATGGACAATACTGACCTACGAAATTTTAGAGCTAGAAGTAGCTTTAGAATTCAGAGTATAATCCTTTCATTTGAGAGATAAGGAAACTGAAGGCTCACAGAAATTCAGTGGTTCAAGCCTAAAATGACCTTAAGCTTCTTACTCTTCAATTCCAGTGTCTGAAGCATTTAATTTTATTTTTCCCAACTACAAAAAAATCAATGATTAGCAATAAATCTTTTCATCTTTTAAGAGCCCCTAACTTACGGACTGATGTCCCTTTATTCCATCAAGCACCTTTTAGAAATCCCTCAACTATCAAAAGGGTACTTACGTGTGTCCATGTGAGGAGACACAGGGTGCACCATCACTTTTTCCCCAAAGGACCTGACACAAGCCTACCTTGTACCAGGCAGTGGTGAACATGACAGGCAAGATCCCTGTCCTGGTGGTCTTTACTGTTATTTTACGTATTGCTAAGTGAGACAGGAAAACTAAAGCAGAGCAAGGGGACAGTGACAGAGGGAAGAAGTCTATTTCAGACAGGGCGGTCAGGGAAAGCCACTGTAACTAGGTGAAATCTGAGCAAAGGCCTGAATGAAGAGGGGGAGTGAGCTGTGGAGGTCTTTTTTTTTTTTTTTTTTTTAATAGCTGCAGAGGAACTATGTGTATATGGAACAGATGGAAAAATGAATGTCATACACAGGCTAAGTTATAAAACTAAACAACCCTTCCTAAACCTGCACGAGGGCTGAGGAATTTTTCATTCACACTGAAAGGTTTCATATAGCTAAAAGATAACGGAGCACCTGGGAGGGACTGTTACAAGCAGGGGGAACAGCATGTGCAAGGGCTCCGTGGTGGGAACATGCTGGCTGTGTTCCAGGAACAGCAAGAAGGTCAATGAAATAGTGTGAGTGAGGGGAGGAGAGCAGTGGGGGGCCTTGGAGGGTTCTCTGAAGCCCCTGGAGGGTTAGAGCAGGGGAGGGACCTGGCCTGATTTTTTGTTTTAAAATAACCACTCTGGCTGTGTGTGGGGAATAGACTACAGGGGCAAACAGGGAGACAAGTCAGAATGCGAATACAGAGGCCAGTACAGAGGACAGTGTGCAAAAACAGACTCTCCACCTTGTTTAGGCCTTCAGTCCAACGTCAGCTTACACCAGCTTACAGCAAGGTGGCCGGGGGAGCCCACCACATCTCATGTTCTAACTATGGTGTGTGGGATGCTTGGAGTCAGGAATCACCTTGACATGAAAGGGAAGGAGAAACTTCTTAGTTGTAGACAAGTAATTGGCTAAGTTGTTCTCTGATGGAGTGAGAATGCTTTCACAGTCGGGTCCTCTGAGGAGGGTCTTTGGGGACAGCATAATTACCTGTGGCTCTACAAGGTTAATAGGGAAGCCCTGGGTTAAAGGGTAGGCAGCAAGCACTTCCTAGCCATCAAGGGAGGTGCAGTTGTCAGGCTCTCCTCAGGAGGACACACTCACCCTGGCACACCTGTTCAACTGCTCCAAAGGACACAGGGCTCCAGTGTTTAAGAATATGTACTGGGGATGTCTATGGGGGCAGTGGTGGTTCAGGGGTAGAATTCTTGCCATCCATGCTGGTGACCTGGGTTCGATTCCAGGCTAATGCACCTCAAGTGTGCCACCATCCGTCAGTGGAGGCTTATGTGTTGTTATGGTGCTGAATCAGTTTCAGTGGAGCTTCCAGACTAAGATGAATCAGCAAGAAAGGCCTGGTGATCTACTTCTGAAAATCAGCCAATGAAAACCCTATGGATCACAATGTTCTAATCCTGTTGTGCATGGGGTTGCCATGAATCAGACCTGACTTGACAGCAGCTGATAACAATAACCACTGAGGATGTCTACTGAGGACCACAGTCAAGACTTTTTTCCAAAACAGCAGTTTTAGCATTTCAAATCAAGAGGTGACAGAGACAATTAGATACAACAGAAGTCACCATGGCACAGAATATGTACAGACCCCCTTTTCTAAGTAGTTTACATCCTGAACAGCTTTACTCTAAAGATAAAACCAGCCTGCTGTGAAGCTGCTTGCCAACTTCTACCCAGGAAGGTGCCAGTGAAATAAATCTTTCTGAGTTTAAGCAAAATAAGGACTTGGGCTGCTTATTTTCCCAAGTTCCAGTGCTAAACGATCCCACAGAATCCAACCATTGCTGACTGGAAAAGGCCACCAACCTAGGATTCTTAAAACAGTGGCTCATTTATTTCTCACTGTCAGTGTATGTACATGTGCAGATCAGTTTCTTTTTCTAACTCTCCTGTCACTTTTAGTCAACTCTTCTGAAAGTGGCAAAGTCATTCTACTGCTAGATAACTGTAGAACTCAAGGAGGATTATCAGAATCTGAAATGTTACTCTAGAAGAAATGATTCCATTATGTAGGCAATACAACGAGATTTTTAATCTTGACATAAAATGAAAACTACGATTTTTAATATTGCTTCTTTTTTGAATTCTGTATAGAGTCAAGCATGCAGAAGAGTTTAGGGAAAAACTGCTGTCTGGTATCCTGCTAGCCAAACTGTCATCTCCTGGTGCTGCCAAAGACGCCCTCTCCCAAATACTAGAGCAGTACTTATGGAAAACGGAAGAGTTCTCCCCCTCCACACTTTATACACAAATTTACTGCAAGTAAGAGAGAAAAACCAATAGGAGCAGAAATGGAGCTTATGGTGTGATTGTTGCTGAGTTAAAAACAGTGAAAAGGGTGATTTTTCTAGATGGTGAGAAAACCAACTGATAGAAAGTGACTTTAGCCTTTGACTCCCTAATTAATTTTGCAGAAAGATGGACACATCACACTACTCAGGAAGCTGTGCTGCGGCAGATGCTCCACTCCCCCTCCCGAGAAAGAGAAGATCCCTGGCACTTCTACAAAGTAAAAACAAAAGCATCTTCCAGGGTCCTTTCTGGGGTCAGTATCTAAGCAGCTGTGCTTTACATCATCTGTCCTTGCAGATACCCCTTACACGTGGCAACATCACCCAGGTTCACCATAATGACGGCGCCTTCAAGGAAAGGTCAACTTCCTATTTATAATGAGTAATGAATTTAAAATGCTAGGAAAAGTAGACTATACTTAAATCTGACATCCGTCCACGTGTAAATGTGCAATACATCCTATAGACTTAGATTAAAAAAAAAGTCATATTAAAATTTTATCATACTTAAACATCCACATTTAGTAAATTATGAGAACGCAATTTTCAAAAAAGGACGCATTTCTAGAAATTCTGGAGAGCTGATATTGTCCTTTACATGCACCTTGAATTCAATAATGACAGGTGATCTTTCTATGTCTATGTGACTAAGAGGAATGGAGTTACATGATCCTGCAGTGTAAATCGTAAACACCAAAAGCAGTGATGTCCAACCAAAGGGGACATGTCAAAGCTTAGAGGTCTTAATGAAAATAGAGTAAATCACTGAGCTATCTTACCTGTCGACGAATTATTTCCAGGTCTCTTTTGGCTTTACTCACTAGGATTTGAATTTCTACAGGATCCTCTACATTTTTATTTTCTCTGAAGGCATCTCTTATCCGCCTGACAGCATAAGTTCTAAATGAGTTCAGAGGAAAAAAGAAAAAGTGTCAGCATGTTTGAGGTTATGCTTTTAAGTGCATTTAAAAGCTTTTCTCTTAGAATTAACAGTCTAATATTCCCCTATGGATAATTTACTTTGATCTTTGCTCTTGGGACATGTCCATCCATTACTACTCCAGCATGACCAAGCAAGCAGATATAGGAAAATAAATCTTCCCCAAACAAGTCCCATACAAATGGTAAACTACTACTGAAATACTCATTAGATTGCTGGGTCTTTAGAGTTAGGCACGTCCGGCTTTGCTCCATTAACATGGATAATTGAACCTTTGTTGTAAAGAGACGAATCAATAATTAAGAGATTAAATGATGCATCACTTATGTGTATATCAAGACAGTGATCTATGCTGGACTGGGGTCAGCATTCCAATCCCTGCCCTAACTTTTGGCAGTCATTTCCTCTCTGTAACATAAAATATAAGGCTGTGAGCCACATGAGGATTCTACCACAGTGAAAAGCGTGAGATTATCCCAAAATGCTTCCCCCGATCTTGCAAGTGCACACATAAACACATACATACATGCACACACCCTCCTTCCCAGATGTAGGTTATACACAGTATAGGTTAACAGCTCAAGAGCAGGTGTGGCTTTGAATCCTTGTCCCAGTTCCTATTTGTGTGAACTTAGGGAAGTTTCTTAACATGAACCTATGTTTCCTCATTTGTCAAACAAGCATCACACCACCTACCTCACAGAGCTGCTGTGAAGATTAAGCTTTATAATGCGTGTCTGGAATTTGGCATAAAGCCTGGAACAGAGAAAGACTCCATAAATGAAAGCTATCCTTACTATTCTTATTCTAGCAATTAGTATTACCCTCTCCTCATTTTGGAGCCCTAGTGGCACAGTGGTTAAGAGCTCAGCTGCTAACCAAAAGGTGAGCAGTTCAAATCCACCAGCTGCTCCTTGGAAACCCTGGCAGGCAGTTCTACTCTGTCCTGTAGGGTCACTATGGGTTGGAATTGACTCAACGGCACATAACAACAACAACAAAAACAACTCCTCATGTTACTGCCTCACCTTCATCTTGCACCCACAAAGTCACACTACAAACATTTGTGAATGTACAGAGGGCACAGTGGCCTATGTGGATAACCAGCCACCACAGACAACTCCAGAGCCATTACCCAGATACACACCAACACTCAGAAAGTCTTCCTCAATTCCTGTGGCCGCCCCATCTACTCCAGAGTGGAAGACCAGGACTAAGGAGAAGCAGTCCAGGTCAGATACTTAGACATGGCTTTCCTTAGCCTCTTTAATGATTGCTCTGCTTTCAACTTTGAACATCAGCTAAAAAATCTATTCAATACTATTACAGCGTTTACCAGTAGAAGAATGGAAATAAGGCAAAGAAACAAGAGAAGGGAATTTCATTTTCCTTGAGGGATGAGAAGGATGGATTGAGAAATGGATATAACTGAGTGGGAAATTTTGATTTAGAAACGACTAATTTTGTTTCAAACTTTTTCTACAACTTTTTTTTAAAAAAAAATTACAATTTTAAATATCACGTCTGTTTGCATTTAAAAACAAGAATGAAACCAAATCTTGTAACATTAAGAACCATAATGGTGGAAGAAAGACAGATTAAGAACTTGTACTTTCAGAACATAAGACAAAATGGAGACTTTCATCTAAACTCTACATGAGTCAACCGGGGTGTTTGCAGAGGAGCTTCTGGGTGTTAAATGTCAATCTTAGGGACTACAGTGAGTGTAAATGGAACCCATGTTATATAATGTAACTGGGGCTTGTTTCTTCATAAAGGGATGGGGAGGATTGTACTAATAGCCATCAGCAAACACAGATTCTCCTCATGTGTGGTTGCTAACCTAACAAGATTTTAGATAGCTAGGTAAGCTAAAAGCAATTTCTGGTGCATTTTCTTGCACAGCATAATGGTTATTTATATAACACAATATCACTGTTCTTCCTCACACCCACACACTCTTCCAAAACAGTTTCTTTTTTTTGCAGTGATGGGAGAAGGGAAGGGACAAGATAATTTAAATATTTTGTTCTATATGCAGAATTGGTTTTATAATGTGAATCTGTCCTCAGGGCATCATCCACTATTTTAATTCTTCATTGAGGATGATGCATGGGCTTTTTGGAAAAACAAAATGGGCAATAGTAGTCATTGCTAAATTCATTTTTCTAAAAGCTAGCGACTAGCACAGAATAGCTATGAAAAAAACGAATGTGAAGGCCTGAGGTCCTCCCAAGTTTAAAGAAATTAGAAAACAGCTAAATTTTAATTCATATCAATTGATATCCACAGTTCTAAATATTCTGCTGTATATTCTTGTTTGTCTCCCTAAATCTCCTAAGTTTGTATCTAAAGAAATGAAGCTCTAGATCTTGGAATCAAATGCGTCTTAAATAATCAAGGTCGTGGATGCACTTTTGAAATGAATGATGCAGTGGCTCCCTCCTTCTCTCTCTTGCTCCTAAAACACAAAGTGTTTTCCTTTGTCCTAAGAGGAGACATCTCACGTGTCTAAGAAACATAAAATGAATTGCTATGCATGAACACTTTCTCAGTTGTATGAACCTTTATTTCAAATGATTAGAATTTGGTGACGGCAATCACTAATCTGGCTGAATCTTTAAATTTTCTAGGAGAGGACTAACCTCCAATTACTTTAATTCTGCCTCTGTCCTGTTTTTTTTTTTCTTTTTCTTTTTTTTCTTTGCTTCCAAGGTAAACCATCTATCCTTGAGCACATTCTAGCTATCGGCCTCTTGACTATATCACCGAGCTAGAACATTCCAAAGAAAAACATGCAGATGCTGCAATGAAAATAGCAGCCAGCTGCTACATAATGCCTTGTATTAGGATGATCCTAATGAGTTAGATGCTGTTTGAAACAAGGCATGAAAAATTAACACATAAAGGCAACAGAACAACAACAGCTACCAAATGTGAACAAGCAGACCACATCCAGAGAAGCAGGAAGGCATGTGCTGCTTAGACATTTACCACTCTCTCTCCATCCTATCAAAGCTTTGCAGAGTTTATTAGTGCTTCTTAGTGTAGGAGATTCCCATTTGGCCTTCCTTCTCCACCCCAGCCTTCTTCTGCCACCAGATCTTCATGTGTCCACAGGTTCTTCTACTGGCTGTCGTTTCATCATTGCAAGGATAAAGCTCCTTCCTGAGATCCTTATACCCACTCAAATGCTCCAGCCCCAAGCAGCACAGTCAGCAGTGATTAAAGCTCTTCTGTGCCCAGGTCCTGCTTCACTCTCTCCGCTCCCAGAATCAGATGGCCACATGCAGGCTGCAACCAGAGCCTCCTCAGCACTGGAAGCTTCCATCGCCTTCAGCATCAAAAAGCTGAATTCCAAAGTGCAATTTGGAAACCAGCTAATGTAATGCCTCTCATTTCTATCATCTTTCATCACCATCCCAAAGGCTGGTTTTTCTGCTTACCCATCTTGTAAAAGTATCTGTGCTTCCCCCCTATTCCCTGCAAGCTCAAGTCAAGTATACCAATAACATAAGAACAAAACCCTTTCTTTGGTCCTGTTTGGGGCAAACCCAGCGACTGCTTGGAAGACCATATCCTCTACCTACTTAAGTGAAACATGCCTTGTCCCGAAGACCGTGCTTCCTTTACACCTGTTAAGAAGAAGCTGCTTAACTCTAGCATGCCTCCACATCCTACAGGGCAAGAGCAGAGGGACAGTGTGTCTTTGGATCCCACGCTGCTTCCTGACCATCGGCCCACCCTTATACATCTTGGGGAGCTGTGCCATCTGGCCATCCCATGTTGTATGCCGCATTGTTATCTGCTCACTTTTGGGTCAATCCTCAACTTTCATCAAGCCTTAAAATCTAAAGGGCACTCAGTGCATACACAAGCCACCAATTTTAGGTAATTAAAAACATTGTCATAAATTTTAATAAAAAAAAGATCTTTACAAACCAACAAGTTCATAATGAGAATGGCTGATAAAACTTGCAAACTTTTACTGAGGTATCTATACCTGCTTCACTGACAGTTCCACAGCTAGCTGGTTTCCCTTCTTGGTGTTCAGATCTACTAGCTACTCCTTCCTAGTGTCCTCTGTGGTCTCATCTTACCCTGCTGCCCCTTATACACTGTATTCTCTAGGGCTCCGTACATGGAGTTCTTTTCTTTTCAATAAACTCTCCTGGTAATTGCATCCATGCTCAAGGTTTCAACTATCATATATATGCCATTGGCTACCAAGTCTCTCTCTGGCTCAGACTTTCTTTCCGAGTTCTATACCCATAAACCTAACTGCTTTTTGGACTTGTCAACAAAATACTCTACAGATTCTTCTATTTAACACACTCAAAACTGAAGTCACCATCTTCCTTACCCTTCATTCCCATGGCCAGTATTTCCTTCCATAGGTAAGCACATCTTCATGCAGCCAGCTGTCCAAGTCAGACATTTGGGGGTTCATCCTAAATTCTTTTCTTTCCCTTAATTCCTTATATTCACTCAATCATCAAATCTTATTTCAACCTCCTATAACCCTATTGAATCCCCTTCTACTTCTCCATCTCCTCAGCCCAGAACCTTTGTTCATTCTCTTTATCTCTCAGACTAAGACAACAGCCTTGGGATTATGCTGTGTGCGTATAATAAAATGGACACCAGTAGACAGAAAGCTCAAAGACCACTTAAAGGTCATAAGCACTTCTGGGTAGATAACAGAGTGAGGAAAAGAGCAGAAAGCTTCCTCCTTATGAATGTAGGTTACCATCAGAATGTAAGCCCCGCCAAACAGGGACTTTTGTCTTTCTTGTTTACCACTGCATCCAAAGTGCCTGGCACAGAGATCGTGCTCAATAAATATTTATTGAATCAATGAACTTGACAAAATATTAAAGAAAACATAAAGAAGACCTTCAAGAAACACACCAATAACCCAAAAGGAAAACACAGCAAAGCATAAGAAACTGCATAAGAA